ATTGTACGGCACCCATATTTATTGGGCGTTACAGTATTTCTCAAAATTGTGGATGTAGGAGCACAATGAAGTCGGAATTCACAGACTGTGACCCCAAATGATGCAGCAAAAAGTAAACGATAATTAGATCGAATTTAAGCCAATCAGAATTGAGTCGGATGAGATGTCCGACTTTATTCGATCACAACACAACCAATGGGTTAGTTGTGTTTGTGTGAGTTGTGTTGCTTTCGCTTGGTGGATGGCATCCGTGACGAAGAAGGTGCTTGAGTCGTCGGCACGAGGAGGTTGTACGCGCCAGGCCCGGGGGTGCTTCCTCGTCCGGCGTGCAGTCGTTTGCTGATCACGCGACTAAAGTCGTCGCCCGAGGCCAGCTTGACGGCCACCGGCTTCCGAAACACCAGCGCCATGGCCTTTTCAGGGTAAATGGCACTCGATTCGACCGTGGTGAGGGGCACTTGCTTGGGGGCCGTGGATCCGAACGGCACGCGTCCTCGCCATGGTTTGTCCCCACTGTCGTCTTCGGTCTGGTTGTTGGTAGCCAACGTACTAGGGGGAACTCCAGCTTTGGCTAGCACGTCGTACGCCCCTGGACCGGGGGTAACCGACACTTGCACGGTTCGAAATCGCTTTCCCACCCCAAACGCTCGTAAGAGGCGCGTTGTCGCAGATTTTTCCACGCGACTTGAGACGTCAGTTGGTTTGTTGCTTGTCGAGATGGGGGGAGGGGGGTGGGTATTGTCGGAAGGTGCAAGCCCATTGGTGGCCAGTGGGGGGGGTACTGCTGCGACTGAACCAGTCTTGGCTCGAAACCGTGGCGTGTGGCTAAACGTGGTGGTCGGGGGGCGTTTCGTACGGGCCCGCTTCCATTCCAACAGTCCTACGACCATCATCATGTGACACATTGAGAATCAAACATAAGCATGTCGACCATCACACGTCGACTTGCATCTCGTATACATCAGGAGGGTACCTTGAATAGGTTTCGGTGGCCCAAGTGGTTTCCCGGTTGATTTCGTAGAGGGTCGACTTGGCAGATTCGACGGAGGGGGGAGTCGAGAGGGGGGGGTCAGAGATGCAGTCTTGTTCGCGTTAGTGTTGGTATTCGACGAATTATGCATGGACGTGTTGGTTTTCGAGTGATCGATGGTCGGCCGCTTGGCGATCTTTGTCGACGCCATGATGTGTAGAAACCGAGCAACATGGCTCGGGATGTTGAGTGTGTCCGTGGGCTCGGCCACCGTGAACGACCATTTCTCAGTAACTTGGTTGCCGCGGTGGTGGTGGTGTTTGCCGGGGGAAGTGGAAGGTTTCTTCTTGGCGTGCAGCGATTTAAACATCCCCACGGCTTTCTTGGCTTTGACCATGTTCGGGTCGTCCCCTTCGAAAGCATTGGTCGTCCGCAGCACCAGCAGCGTGTGGTTCTCCGTCGCAAACACGGAAAGGGCATGCATGTGAAGGGCCACGGCGCCCCCCGGCGTCCGCATCGACTTGGCGTCCACTTGAACCGGAATGGGCTGGCAATTCAGCCCCGTCGTCGACTTGAGCCCGAGCTGACCCGCACTGTTGCCCCCCCAGCAGTAAACGTTGTCCAGGGAGTCCACCACCACCGTGTGGGACCGCCCTACACATGGCAACTCAAAAAATATACACCTAATCCTTTCGGGGTTGCAAAGGTAGTAGTACTAGACAACAAGTACGCAGTGTAATGTATATTAGTAGTACTAGTAAGCTATAATGCACTACTAAAACAATCAAGCAGTGTCCAAGTGGATGCCATGAAGAGAGAGGGAGTTAGTTATAGTGACAGTACCAGACGTGACGAATCGAGCTGTGACAGCAGGCCCCCCCGCGTCCTACATATATATATTAATATACTCGTGGTAAATGGTGGAAATATGAATGTTTCGGTGTGTTAGTTGTGTACCGTTGCAATCAGGACGCGCACGGGGGTGGGTGAATCTGCCAACGCGTCACCGCCCAACTGCCCCGCATCCCCCCGACCCCATGCAAACACTTGACCAGTCGTGTCGATTACGACCGTGTGATGCAGTCCTATGCAACACATCGTATACATTCTCGTCGTGAAATATATTATACAAGTAGGGAGTAAAGTAGCTTCGGAACCTACCGCAGGTGGCTTGCTTGATGGCGGTGACGTTAACGTTGTCGTAGAAATACTCGACACGTTTGGGCGTCCATTCGCTGTCGCATGTGCCATGCCCCAGTTGACCGTACGCTCCATGGCCCCAACTAAACAACTAGTGTACGGATGAGCTATCCATCCCAATACTTTCCAGCCTCATCACACTTACTTCGCCCGTTTGGGTGACGCAGCAGCTATGTTCCGGGCCTGCCACCATTTCCTACAAGAAATTGTGATTTTTACAACCTAAATACTTGCACAGAGGACGACTAAAATCACATGTTCAAGCGCAAGTAAAATAACGTACCCGAATGGGCGGAAAGGTGATACCCGCGGCGGTGTGAAACACACTGACCAGTGTCGGCGTGTCCTGGTCAGAATCGGAGCCCGTGCCCAGACGGCCGTTGCTGCCATCCCCAAACCCCAGGAGCACCTGTTTAAGTACGTGCATGTGCTTGACTAGCACCAGCGTGTGCCGGTCGCCACAGCTGACGTCGCTGAAAAAAGTGTCGGTGGGGGCCCCCGAGACAGCGGAACCGGGCTCGGGGGGTAGGTGATTTAGATCGATTGAAGGTGGCCACGTTCCCTGAGTCACCGCTTTGTCCTTGCACTGTGTGAACCCCCAACGCACCTAATGATCATATGGCATAAGGTTGTTTAGCCAGTTGCATACCAACAAATATGTGTAGTACCTGCGTAGGCGTCGAGATGATGCCAGATGCTGGAAGGCACCCAAGCCCCAATCGACCGTAGGAAGCATCCCCGACCATGAACAACGCCCCTGTATCCGACACAAACCCCCCGTGGGCACTCCCGCACGACATCTTAACAATGCGAATCGACTGGAGCGCTTGTACTAACGTCGGGCGCATCAACGCTTCCGAGTGGCCATGGCCCAACTGACCGACTACTCACAACGATTTCGACAACAAACATGAGTTTACACGACAAAGTAACGTAACCATTGATACGAACACAAACAGCATCATCGTCGGACGTATTTACCCGTGTTGTTACCCCACGTGTACACGAGATGGTTTTGCATGAGCGCAGCGCCCCATTCGACGCCGCTGGCCACTTTCAGGACACTCAGTCCCGACGGAAACAGCGATGTGAGGTCCACGGACGGCGGCTTTCCGTGACCCGAAATATACGGACTGTCCCCCACGAGGTAGATTTTGAAATGTAGCAGCATGTTGGGGGGCGCCTTGGACGAGTCTCGTCGATTGTCGTCGCCATTCGTATTTGGGGAAGAGTCGACGTCGGACGGTTTGCGGAGCAGCGTGGCCACGGACCTCGACGACGACATCTGGCGCGAGAGTCCCCTATCCCCCCCGTTATGGAGATTGGCCCTGGATTGAAACGGCGACGTCAGCGACGAAGACGAGATGTTGTGCAGCGTGGAATTGTGCATGCCCACGACCACAGTGCTGGGCACGGGTTGCTGTTTGTTGCGTTTTGGTTTGAGTAGCAGCTGGGACGATGACACACTGCGGCCCAGGGACGTTTTGCGCCGGGGGAACAAGTTGGTTTTCATTGGGTTGGCTCCGTCAACGACGATTGGCTGCGCGGCAAAATCATCCGTGTCGCCCGCTGCATAGTTGTCGCCTTCGTCCTGGCTGGACGGCCCACGGAGCATCAAAAAAGCAGTTTCACCAGACAGTTACCACATATGCACCAAGGCCCCTAGAGAACATTCCAACAGTAGCATGTTTCCAGTGCATGGTATTGCAAAGTCACAATAATCTTGGCGATGGATGAGTTGTGGGTATTCCGCAACATTAAGCTGCTGCGAGTATTTGAAATTTAATACGTGCTGGCAACTACTAGTATAGTGTACTGTCGTACAGTTTGCCCTAAACTCAGGGCGTATCCTGTATTCCCAGGTCGCCATTTGCAGGATAAAAGAGTACGCTGGATTCTAGAACGTATACAGTACCAGTCAGTATAAATGTAAATGGCGCGATCGCTAGACTTTGAGTGAGCAAAATGAACCCTCGGAACACAAGTGTGTTGTGATGCTGCTATTGAAATAACTAATACAGGGCCGATTAACTCCATTAGGACCGTCAAAACACATTGACGCTGATTATTTATCAAAGCACCTGTTATTGCTGTACTAGCGTTGGATGGATCAGGTATATTGTCCTTTATGATGAATCGCCAAATCTATCGATCGATTCTTTGTACTGAAGTTTTGTATGTAAAAAAATGTCCTGTGGTGATTGATATCACACTAATTGAAGTCATACAGTAATTTGACGTTGATGATGGTTTCCTGCAATCTGATTGGCTAAATCCTTCTGTTGATGATTCACATTGGTTGCGTCGATTCATTCTCCATGTCGCTCCAATTTAGCATAAACAATAACACTTTAGCAATCGTGTCCGCAGCAGTCTTGCCATCGAAAGGAGTAACTTACAGTACTAACGTTAACGTTACTATTAACGTTATTAACGTTAATAGCATTTTTTTAAACCGAAAGGGCGTTTCAAAATACGACCAAACACACAATTCAATCATTTAGCCAATCCGATTTATGAAAGTAGTTTTATTATCCAATCATATTCTTCCTGACTTCTCGAACGTTCGCGTCGTTATCCGAAACAAACCACACATCCGCATAACTTCATTTTGACATGTTCCGCGTCCGAGTTGCTTCGACGGAGATCGCCGTGCCGCTACCGCCAGACGCGTCCTTAACGGCTGGCTTCGTCAAGCAATTCGTCATGGAATCTAATCTGGAGATAGATGTGCTGCCAAGCCAGCTGCGTCTGATTGTCAAGGGAAAGATCCTAGCGGATGACGACGTGGTCGACGCCACCCAGACGGCGGCGGCGCCCGCGGTGATACACATCCTCCCATCCGAGCACGAGATTCAAAACATGCTAGCGCGAGAAGCCGAGGCCAAACGCATCCACGACATTCGGTAGCTATTCTAAGTGGACGATGACTGATCAACCGCTTACTCAGAGCAACGCGGCACGTCGTCAGCATCCAAGCACGCAATGAGCACCTGTCCGCCCGAGCGCATGCCAGCATCACGTACAAATTCCGCGACATCGAAGTACATTCATTTCCCATATTCATCGTTAACCTCCATGTGTAGACATTACCCGGCCTTCCCAACGAACCCACCGCGCGCAACATACTGGTCTCGTTAGCTAGTGATCCTGGCATCCTCGCTGTGCTGGCCCATCACAAGTAACGATTATTCCACGGCACGTGGACGAAGGGTACTTAAGAGGATGGTGTACCTAGATGGCAAGTCGGTGCACTGGTCGAAATGTACCCTGACGGCAAAGTTGGTGTCGACCCCGTCTGTGTGCTTGGTCTGAACGAGAACAAGGGTATATATAGCAAATCAATATATATCCACTCATATATACATATATCCTTAGTATCTACATATATATATATATATTGATACTAAGTATATATATATATATATTGATGTTGTGACAACGATAAAATGGAATATCATGTATCTTGTAGGACAACGCATTCGACTTCGCCTTCGTACAGACGACTTGCTTGGCTTTCGCAAATTCCTCACGTACGTTACGATTCTATATATATATATATATTACTAGTAGATTTAATACCTTGAATTGGTCCATTGATAGCTCTAATTATCGCATGCTCGAAATATATTAATCTTAATCGTAGGATCAAGCAAGTTTTGTTCCACGAACTTAGCCACAATGCACGTACTACTCTCCGTGTTTTCACCATGGCGAATATATATATGACTATTGTATCAAGATATATATATATATATCACTACTGTATCAAGATATATATATCTGCCTATTTTATCAAGAATAGGAAGTAAGCGACCACAACAATGATTTCTACCAGCTCATGCGCCAAGTGGAAACCGAGTGCAATGCCGTGCCCATGACTCGGTCGTCGGCCCTTGTCCAATCAAGTCGACGCCCTACCGCCTCTCCTGTGCTGCCACGTCATACTATGGTGCCGCCTGCCAGTTTGAACCCACCCCCTGGTTCCCCAACTCGACCAATCCCAGCTCATGTCGACAACTTCAAGCATGCCCCGACTTCGTCAGATGAGCTCACGCCACCGCCGCCACTTGCTGGTTCAGCGCCTTCCCCTGTCCAGTTGGCTCCATTGGTACAATCTAAGAAAACAACCAAATCTGTGTTGTTTGTCCATAGTATTTCCTATACTCGTTTCTGCGTTTTCGTTCACATTTGACCTATTTTTCGTGTTTTTTACAATATTTTCTCAACCATATATATATATATATATTCATATATTCAAGGTATGATGGGGTTTCTTTAGGCAGAGTGGGATGCCATGGCGCTGGCGATGGGGGGCGAGCGGGTGCAGCAGGTGCACGCCGCCGTCCATGGCCTTCGCACGGCGTTGCTAAGCCACTCCCAACCACCACAAGCAACGATCTCGACGCTCATGACGTTGCTAAGCAACATCCTCACCAACCCCACGGACCCCAAGTACAAATCTATCCGGAAGGACAACCCCCGCTTTATCCGTACTGTTGGCAGCATCGTCGCGTCCCACGCGTTCCTCCAAAGTGTTGGTTTTGACGAACGTACTGTATATATATATATATATATATATATATATTATCTGTATATATATATTATCTGTATATATATATATATTATAAGCATGAAATGGACGGATTTGCGGTTGTAGAAGCAACGCACTGGACGTTGCTGCGAAACGACCCAGGGCTGCTTTGGCTGGGCAAGAGTGCGCTGGAAGCGTTGCTGGTCGTGCCCAGCGACTGATAAAGTCACCCTTAGCAATGTGTGGATACACATTTTGAATATACTAGCCAACGGATATAATAGAATGTTTATTGTGTTATGACGTCATAATATATATATATATCCTCGTCACAGACTTTATGCGAGAAGGGTCCAGGCTGTCCTGTTCCCATTGTGGGCTACGCCTTAACAACACCCCAACAACGACCAAATACGCTATTCTTGCAACTCTTCTCTTAGTAATATGTACTATTAGGAGTAATTTAATATCCATTGTTACTGATACTAGAATTGGTATTGTTTTTACTATTAATACATAGTAGGAGTGTGAAAACTATACTAATAGTAGTACTAGCTAGTATTCAATAGAGCTTGGGGAATCTATAGCTAATCAGCTAGTACTACTATACCACGACTCTGGAATTCATGGATGACATAACTTAGTACGATGAGCTGCCGCCTCATTTTAGATAAAATTCCAAGGCCGAGTCAGGATAAAATGGCTGTTTTTTAACGTAAAATTGCCGAATTCGAAATATTCGATTTTATGCCTCCGAATGCCACCAAAGTTCCAAATATAATGCCACCATTTCCTTGAGATTGAATATGGAGGTTTGGGTTCACGTTGTGAAGTCTTGCATTTCAATGTTGGACATCGAATAATAATAATACTAATCCAGAGACGTCTTTGTAGATATTTCATTTCTCGATTTTGTCATGGAATATGAGACTTTGGCAAAATATTAAAAAATTTTGCAGAAAAACACTTCGTATGGTCTAATTGTATGGGGTGGGTCGCATCCAGCCCTAAAAACAATACTAAAACTCCATCATAGAACAATAATTTTTTAATAAAATTAAAAAAATAACAACACCATACAAATGTACCTATTCCTCGAAACAATATAATATGAACAATATTTTTTTCATAAAATTAAAAAAATAACAACACCATACAAATGTACCTATTACTACGACACAATATAATATGTAAACATGATGTTTCAACCTTACAACAGCCGATAAGGCCACTTCTGTGACATCGTTTTTATCTGGTCACTGTCAGGTACTTGTCGAGGGAAGTCGCGATCGCAGTGTCGCAGGGCGCATTCTGATTGGTCAGTCTGTGGCGGATATGGGCCAAGATTGGATGCAGCGGCACCCCCAGCGCCATGAGCACGTTCTCAAAGTACCCCATGTCACATGCGAGTTGAGCGGCGCCAGTGGCACTAAACCGAGGGATTTGGAGGATTTGACCAGTCAAGACGGCCATCGCACCCGACGCCATCACGACCGTCCATCGGTCCACAAACGACGACGTCGCTGATTGGCTCATCCAGTCGTCATTTACAGGGGTATTTGGAAAAAATGTGGTGGCGACGGCTGTCCACGCGTCGTTGCTAAGCAACTCGACGTGGTGGGACGCTGCCACAGCATTTGGCAGGCCGCTCGTTTCTGCAAACAGCTCCAGCTGCGGCAGCAACGACAGCAAGATGTCGGCGACCCCCGTCACATAATCCTATGCAAAGTCGAGGAAATCCTTTATATTGATTGCCAGTAATATACAATTAGTATACCTGTGGCAGCATGCTAAACGACGGCAATGCATCCGTGGCTTCGGGCTGGATCCAAATTTCTAGCGTCGGGAGCGGCCGTAACAGCGCTTGGATGGGGGTCATCACGGACGCATACAGTAACTGCTGTACCACCTTTGTCCAGTGTTCCAACAAGTGGCCGAAAAGCTAAAATATATATAAAATAAATATTGTCGATTTGATACAAATTTGGCGAGGGGTGCAATCGAATAATCGCGCGCAAACCGATCCACAATCGATCGGATTGATTGAATTTCATTGAGAAGGTTTTGATTGGCTAATAATTTTGAGCTCATCTGAGGTAGCCAATCAAATCGATTTAAATTCCACCCAGAAACCACGCCACAACAGGAAAAATTTCACTCGAAAGCACAATATTGTGAATTCGGTATAAATCAATATTGAATCACGCGGGAGTTCTGATTGGTAGAATCTACTTGTCCTTTCAGCCAATCAAAAAACCCATTCAAAATTGGAGTAGCCAATCATAGCGTCGATGATTCGTGATTCGATTTGATGGGGGTCTGGACATTTGTACCGAATCCACAATATACATAGCCCGTTGATTTTTAAAAATAATATATGTTATTATTCATGGATTTAATTACATAAAACCCATACACTCGTAGCTTATAACGCAATATTGGAGTAGATGGTACGTGTAATATTATTACCGGTTTGTAAGTCAGCGAATGGGCCAGAGTTGCCATGTCGTGGTATTTTGAAGCATTGCTGCGCCACCACTGCATCATAACTGCCTTGGGCAACGTCGCAACGTTTCTGCAATCATCCACCGAAAACGGTGGCACAGAGTCCGAGTCCTACAAATAGAATAATACCATATATCCATGAGCATAATATAATACATAGCACTAAAACCCATACAACTCTATATTATTGACAAACAAAAGCCATTTGAAAGGAGACCAACGACAGTTTAAATTCGATCCATCAAATATATGCAAATATATATATCTACAATCCATTGGAAATGAAAAAAATAAAACGCATCTATGTATAGATCAATAATAGATCAATAATATATTACCTCGAGGATCCACGCGTTTAAACAAGTTTGGACGCGGGGTCCCCATCGCGATTGCATGGCTTCGGCTTGCGTTAAAACCAATCCGGTGGTTTTAACCAAGTTTAACGCGTCGTGGAACCGTTCCCAATCCATAAGAGAAGGGTCGGTTATACTAGTCGACGAGTTTGACGTAGTTTTGTCCAAATCGAGTTTAACCTGGTGCACCAATGCCAACTCGAACTCGGTGACAGTGTCCGTGATGGCCGCGACGACAGCGGGCAAGAGCGCGCCAAGTGCAAACGACAGCCCAAACTGCACGCGCACTTCAAGTGCCTCCCACAGCCCCGTGAAGGCTTCTTCAACCAGTGCGGCAAAGTCGGCGTCAACGGGACCGCTTTTGGGCACCACCAATTCGCGCACTTGAAGTGCCAGCACTTCACTGCGTTCGACCGTCGCAAACGACTCAAACAACGGCCAGTATGGTTCAAATATGACTTGGACTATCGCTGGGGCGAGCACAGGGCTGTGGTTCTCCGCCACGTCACCATAGTTTGTCAGCAACGACTGGGCAAACCGACACGATTGGTCAAACCAAGCGCACACGTTGTGCACATTGATGCACGAACTCAACGCGCACGGCTGCAGCGTTGCTTGGAGCAACGACAGCCACACAGATGGACCCGTCTCATGCCCAAACACTAGACCTATTGTAAGCCACTCACGACCTAGAAAGGCGGCGACGTCAGCGTAAAAGTCGGACAAATTCAACGGTCGTGGGCCCGTCTCAAGGGATAGCCACAGCCGATGGATGGCTGCCGGACGAACTGCCGCGTACTGGCCACTCACGACGTCGGCGCGGTCAAGACATTTGAAAATGGTGAGAATTTCAGCCACTCTCTCGACGTCCACGGTGCTTGGGCGGTTGAGTTGGTCGAGTAACGCTGGTAAGACGAGGCGTTCGATGTCCCCGAGGAGTCTATTATAGATATATTATATATACATGGTTGTAAGTGTACAATAGAAAATAGAATGAAATGGATACATGTATATATATATTACTACATATATATATATATATATATATATATATATATGTATACAGGAACACGTGGTTCACGAGATTCCCAAGTCCATACTGTTAATATACAGTTCATAAAGTCGTAGTAACACCACGTGAGTTGGTCATAATATTGGGGGGATAACCTTCAAATAGAATATGAATAGACCACAATTATATATAATTGTTTTGCAGTGTGATTTTTGCCAATCGGATATATGATATATATATATATACAATATGCCAAATCGAATATATATAAAATATGCCAAATCGGATATATATTTAATATATATCACATCACACGGCACAACCACTTGGAAAAGTCAAGTGGTAGGAAGTAACGTTACCTCGCCATCGTAGCTTGTCGTTCAGGCGCGCCTGGCATTGGCGCCAAGATGCGCAAGCTCTTGTGCATGGCTGTTAAATGCGTGGCAAGTGATGGCAAAGATGTCGGTGCGATCGAAGACACGGACTCGGAGACGAGTTGACCAACGACGCGGCTGTGTTGCGTCCACGCCGCACTTTCCTCGAGGGCATGGATGCATGCTTGCATGCGCTGCTTGGCTTCGTGAAGGAGGATGAGAGACGGGCTAGTGGCGACAGCACGTGCAGTCGTCGCTACACGGGGTCGAGTTGAGCCCTGACAAGGTAAGTTATGAGTTGTACCATCGCTGCCATCGGGGAGGTCGGCCACGGAATCGGGGAAGGTCGTGACGCTTTGGAGATTCAGTCGCAAGCCCTCGGTTTTAATCGCCAGGAGCTGGACATGCGTGTCGAACGACGGGAACGATTCGAGCTGGTGTTGCAACGTCGCACTCAGTTCCTGCGATAACACATGCAGCTGCGGCAGCAACCGCTCGCTCACTCCCCCAGAGTTGTTGCTCTCCACGGCGTCGCCGCGGGTGTTTGCATCTACCCATGCATACACGTCGGAGACATCGTCACCAAGCTCCACGAGAGTCAACACTGCCGAGTCCATCACCAAGTGCGAAATGCATCTTCTAAGGAGTATCCGGATAAGCAGTTAATTCTCCGGATACACTAGCTACAGTACCGGTATACCGTCCATCTGCACATTGGGGGTGGATTTATCGAACGAGAGTTATACGGATAACAGCGAGACTTATTGGAGCTCCAGAGATAAAACTCATTTTCCCCACCCATCAGATTTATTCCCCATTCACATACACAGGTCGACAAGCTGCTAGACATAAGTGCGGCAACAAATAGAACCCTCATGACGTCTACCCGTGCAATCGAGAAATCTATCAAATCATTGCGCATGCCGCCGTTCGACGCCACAATGACAGTATCTCACTCGTCTAAGGAGCAGGTTGATAAAATAGTCATGTATTTTGTGTGATGGAACTTCATTTCACTATACCGGTGAGATTAGTGCATATGAATTTTAACCTTAACGTTAACGTTACTATGAATCCGGATAGCACTCATCCATCAGGATAAATCGAGGTGAAAAAGTCCTAACGCTACTCTAACGTTAATAATACTTCGAGGGGTCAGATTTATGTTGGGATTTGTTCACAGACCCATATAAAACCAACCGGTCGGAGTCGTGGTCCTATATCTAAGGGTTAGGTATCCGTATAAATCTGAGCTTCAACTCTCCGACGGAAGGAGACGTCGAAACCACGATCATCACTGACATGTCTCGTCATTTACGCCATTGCTTGCCTTACAGCTCGTCATTCAACTGCACTTGATAAATAGTACGCTAGTTATTATCTTCAAGCAGGCGGCAGATGCTGCTTGAGGTACGCCGCGATCTCTGCATGTCCGTTGGCTTCGGCGCGGGCTCGACCCATCGCCGTCCCGCCTTCGGTGCGGTGCATGTGTAGGAATTTCACAATGTTGAAATGTCCATTCTGTGCCGCGCCATCCATCGCTTGCGTGGTGCAGCCTTGGGTGCTGTGGGCGTGGAGAAATCTCACAACTTCGAAATGTCCGTTCGTCGCGGCCAAGTCAAACGCTTGTCGTCCGCTCGTGCCTTGTCGTTCGTTTGCAAACAAAAACTCGACCACGTCCAAGAACCTGCCCAAAATTACACGTGAAAAATATGCCAAGTACAGGTACGTTGTATGTACCCCAGTTGCGCCGCGCGAACCAGCGTGTACGAGGTGCAGCCCTCGGACCGATTCGATTGCAAATAGCCGACGATCGCCATGTGCTTTTGCACCACGGCGTTATGCATGGCAAACACGGTGCACCCTTCGTTGCGGTGTTCGTGTAAGAATTGCACTACCTTCAAATGCCCTCGTTTTGCAGCCCCGTTCATTGCCCATACCTAGACACTTCCATGAGCCAAGTCTGTCGCATGAGAGAGAGAAACGCGAAGGCAGATGGGTGTATATATACACGTACAGAACACGGGGTATGCGTGTGGCGGTGGAGCCACTCCACCATGTCCAAGTGCCCGTTCGACGCGGCCGCGTCCATCCCAGCACAAGTCACGACTTGACTGGACCGGCGAGCATGACACACTTGCACGAGGTTCAACTCGCCCTTGGACGCCGCGAAGTCCAGTGCGCTCAGCGTCGTCACTGCCGTCTGGTACGTGGTTTGAATGTACGTGTACAGTTCCCAAGGCACACCCGAGGCGAAACTCGCGACAAGCCGCACCATGTGGGGGTCTGTCAGCACGGCGACGATGGGGATAGAAGCACTGGGACGACGAGGCATCTTCGTCGAGCGTGTGGGTGGCGACTTGGTGACTGCTGGCTGGACGCTGACATGGAGGTCATCCATGACTGGCGGGTGCAACCGTCGGAAAGAATAATCGAAAAATTCGATTTCTTCGGTATTTGGCACCCCGCCGACAAATTGCAACTGCCGCCGTTGCACAGCAACATTGGCGGAAACACCTGCGCAAAAGAAGACACCACGTCACAGAAGTGGGATTTGGTGTACTCTACTTACTACTATTAATAGTACTACGCAGTACTAGTACGAGTTAGTAGTATACTACTACTATTAATAGTAGTATTATAGTAGTAGCATGCACCTTCACACGAGAGGTTAGGGGTTTCAAATTGGACCAATCCCCGTGGCCTATTACCCAACCAATCGATCGATTCCATTGCACTGATTTTTCTACAGTATGTAAAACTCGTCCAATGCCACACTAATTTCAGTCACACACTAATTCTATGTTGGATTCGTCGAAGAGTGGATTTGATTGGCCACTGATTGGTCTTCTGCGTTTTGATTGGTTCAATCAATTGTTCGCCATTCAAATCGAACATTTATATTGCTTTGGTATTTATTTCAAATCCAATATGTCGCCAAGATATGTACAATCCGGAAATAGCGTTACCTGTGCAATTGCATGTTCAACGTCGATGGCATAAAAGGTATTTTTGTTATTGGAGAAAGGATACTGGGAATAACATTTCGCAAAGAATCAAAGAAGCCAATCACATGAGCCCAATATCAAACAAGTGTTGCTTGTCCTGGAGGACTGACTGTGAATTCTCTCTCGTGCATTCGATGTTGATACAGTGATAGATGTATACAGTACGCTTGCATACAACTACATACCTTGCCCCCCCCAGATGCTTCTTGATCAGACAACTGGCTCGGTGCAATGACAACAACACGTTAAACTACCAAAAAACGTCGGTTGCCACCACTCCCACATACTTGTATATTGCCACCTACAGCCTCTAGAGTTACGACGTAGTACAGTACTGCCGTCGGCGTGGATATCCTAGCCCCGGCTTGCCACCTATTGTGAACCACGTACATGTCCCAAGCCCAAGTCCTGCTTAGTCCAACTTTTGTTCATGCGCTCTACACTCCACCAATCACAGACGTCCATTTGGACGAGCCAGGTAAAAAACGCGTTTTTAGGTAAGGGCCAGACAACGTCTCGACTAAGTGCGGTATAGACTTCTTCGCATGACCCGGCAAAGTACGTATTTCACGCCCCGCCCATCACAATCAAGTGACGTCGACCTACACATGGCAGCGACGGCGGCGGCGGCGAAGAAGTCTTCCTTCCCGCTCCCAGCGGGGCACTTCAAGTGCCCTCCCTTGTCGCAGCAAGAGTTCGCACATCTCATGGCGCTCGGGAAGGAGTCTTCTCGTGCGTTTATCCAGCAGTCTGAGCACCTCAGGGACTATTCGTGGCAAGAACTAGGAAAGAAGAACCAAATCGTGCTGTTCAAGGGTGTCAAGGCAGGGTCGTCATCGCCCTTTCTGGTGTTGCGCGCGGTGGGAGAAGTCGCGGGCTCCCTGGAAGAAGTGGCGGCGATGCATCAACTCGGCACGCCCGACACGCTCCAGCAGTTTCTCGACGAGAGCGACGACATCCTGGATCTACATACCCTCTACGACATCACGGCGGATACCCGAGCCATGTCGTCGAGGTACCTCACATCGACGCTGCAGGTGGCGGTGCGGTGGATGGTGATGAAGGTGCCGACGGCCGCGACTGCGTTCATGCATCCGCGGGACTTTTGCTACTTGGAGACGCAGGATTACTTTACCGACGGCAAAGGACGACGCGGGTGGGCAATCTCCATGGACTCGATGGCCATGGACGCATGTTGTCCGGCCTTTCCGGCCCACGCAAGCTGCGTCGTGCGCGGGAAGCTCCGGGCGTCCGGGTACACGTTTGTCGAGAGCGAGACTCAAGGTACACACACATTTGCCTCCCCTCGTCGGTACTAACCTTTGCCTAGGCATGCTGCATGCCTCGCACTGGTTCCAAGTCGACTTCCACGGCAAAGTCCCCGTGTGGATCCAGAACCTGATTCTTAAAGGCCGCGTCCACCGCATGATCCACTTCAACACGCGCATGCACGAGCAGCGTCTCAAAAAGGTCGACCTCCTCGCCGAGTTTGACGTCCGGCGCACGAGTCAGTCCCATCGGACCAACTGCTTCATCTGCCGCAAAAAGTTCCGCCTCCTCTCGCGCAAAATCACATGTCGAAAATGTGGCGAAGTATGTTTGCTTTTTGAATGCACCTGCTTTGGGAGGTTATTTGGAATCAACAAAAACCCTCCAGAATTGATAGTTTATTGAGAGATTCCGTTCATATGGGCATTCCATCGCTTTGTATCCTAGTCGTGTCATATTTGGTGCTTTGTGTCTATATCCTACTATAATTGTTTGCCATGGATATATATATATATATGATTGATTTGGTACGAATTTCCAACACCCCCCCGTGTCCATGTTGGCTAAACCGATGACGAATCGCTCTGATTGGTCAATCTGAAAATGCATGTCGCTGATTGGCTACGCTAATTGTTTCTTATGCTTTCTGTGAAATGGGGAAAAACCCATGTAAACAACATTCCCGGCGAGATTAGTAGTCCTCTAGGGATCTTTGTGACTGCAACACTACAATCTCAACCTTTTTAGCCAATCAAATTGCAACCTTCATTCTTTATAGCCAATCATACTCCGTTTCTCGATTAGTTGGCGATTTCATCAAACTTCCAAAATAGGCACATTTGACTGAAAAGCGCAATATATATAAATATATTTTTTCTTCGTACATAGGTGATATGCTCAAACTGCCAACACACATGGGACCTCGTCCGCAGCGACAAGAAGCGCAAGGTGTCCATCTGCTCCATGTGCACGTCCTCTCTCCGCTCCCCTCTGCCGCCATCATCATCTTCTGCGCCCACAGACGCGACCCATCTCCGCATGCCCCGTCTCGCACGGCACTACTCGTACGATGAGTTCATGCACACGCGGCCGGGGCTGCGTAAGCTCAAGTCCAACTCTGTGGATTTTACCCACTGCGACTACAACGTTGAGGACGACCCTGGGTACATGTCGTCTGTGGCCGTCGACTTGGACGCGCTGCTCGACTCGCCGCGGGATCCGGCGGCGATCGATGCGCGGTGGGGCGACGTGGAGGCCGCCGTCGAGGAAGAATGTGTTGATTTTAAACCCAATTTGTTTCGAAAAGGTACTTGCCCATTTTGTTTATTATTATTCGTATGTGCGCTTGCTTACTTGATATATGTATGTATATTGCGTTAGTGGTTGGGTATTTCCACAGCAGATGCGTATTAATATTTAAAAAATATTAAAGCGAAGGGGAGACTATTCATAGGATGGGTTGTTCTAGTATTATAATACTGTATGTGCGTGGGGCACAGAAAAAAGGTTGTGTAGTAATATTAATATTATTTATTTTTAATACCATGGTTTTAGGTATCTTCGGGTGTGATGTGCTAGTGTTTTGACGGTTGGTCGGTTGTTTTTTTTATGTGTGTTTTTGTATGGATGAGTCGGCGGCGGCAATATCTGTTCGATATATATATATATATATTTGTAGGATTTTGCATGAATTGCCAAAAGCAGCACGACGCGACCGACGACGGATCTATCCGGCAGACGAAAACGTTCAAGAAAATTCACTTGGCGCCATCTGCGCACGCAGCCAACGCCGAGTTCAACCCGATGGCGCTGCCTGAAAACTCGGAATTGTCGGCGGAGCTGCGCAAATCGCGCGCCGACTCGATGGACTCTGTCGTGAGTCTGCGCAGTCGGCTCAACTCGGAGGACCTGATGGACGACCACTTTCTCAAAACCCACGGCGTGCACGCCATGATGAAAGACCTCATGCACGAGTACGGATCGGACTCTGCCGCTAGTCTCAACCCCACGGTGCTCGAAGCCAAGCTGCTGGGGCTGCAAGCTCAGCTGGAGCAGCTGCAGCTAGACAAGGCCAGGTTCAAAAAGGACACGGTGGTTCGCGTCTAGCACGATGAAGACGGTGTCGTGTACTAGTATTTAAACGAGCAAACCAGAATATCAAACATCGACGCTACACCTATTTTAGTGTTATTTACGAGGGCGGGGGGGGGTTGTATATACTAGTATTTATATATTGGCAAGTTGATTCGGATTTTTATACTCGGGGGTACTCACAGTCAATCGAAAAAAGGTCGCAGCATCAAATCGACCAATTAAAACACAGAACACTGTCAAATGACCAATCAAACAGTACAGTACACCTATAATATTGAATTGGGAATGGGTCGTCTGCCAAGTATTGCATACAAAATTCAGTACAAAAAATCGACTGAAGGATTTGGCGAATTACCACAAGTATCGACATCTTGGTTGAAAACAAAATAACATCATAACGTTACAGTAACGTTAGGATTGATGCACATTTGAATTTGAAGTATCGATCGACCAATCAAATCATATTACACGTATGAAATGGCCAATCAAACCCCAAGGATGATGCTGACTTCGTCAATCAGGATGCTTGGAGTTGACCTTCTATTGAAATGGCAATATGCGAATGGTTTTGCCATTCGAGGAATTGTTTAGCAACTTGAACAAAAAGAAACGTGTTCTGCAGCAAGAAAAATGGAGTCGTGGAGCTAAAACCCAAGTTTTTGGTGGTTGGAATGTTATCCGGATGTTTGGCTATTATATATCCGCTTCGATTTTTTGGTGCCAACGCCAACAACTGCCGGCAACGGTCGAGCCACCCACAGTGTCGATGGAAGGTTAAAGTAGTCCCCGACGAACGAAGGTCTTCCGAGTGGATGGGGCCACTGAGATGGTGTCATCTTTGCTTTTACAAGGAACTTCAAACATGACGTCGACCCACAAGCACGCCAGGCGACCGAGCCACGGGATCCCAAGCCCAATGGCGTTCCTCTCACCCTCCGAATTGAAGGCGTCGCTATCGATCCAAGTGCCTTGCGCCACACATACCGTGGACGCTCGATGGGGCTGCGACGAACCTCCCTCGGAAGAGTTGTGCCAAGAGTACAAACCGAACGTGTTTCGCAAAGGTATGGACTTGCTTCGTGTTGCATCGTTGGTTCCGTCGTTGAACCCACAGTGCCATAGGTTTCTGCATGAACTGCCAAAAGCGTCACGACGTGTCCGACGATGGCCACGTGGCATCGACCAAGTCGTTTGTGAGGATCCACTCGCCAGCGACGTCGCCGCATGCTGCCCGAGCGGAATTGAATCCGTTGGCAGAACACTCGAACCTGTCAGTGGCCCTCACCCAAGCGCGAGAGGACGCCCTCATGCGGCTCCATGCCAAAGACGAGCTAAAGCACCTGTCCAAGCAGCTGGAGGCGCTGCGTCGAGATTTAGAGGCAGCACCGAACACGAATGCCCTCGAGTGTAAACTGCAAGAGCTAGACGTGTTCGAGAAGCAGTTGGTAGCCAACGTGGGTCGTGCATCCCCACAGTCATAACAAGGTGGCATCCATCCATCATATACGAATTGGTTGTTCGATTTGGTGTACGCTTATACTGAAACTGTCAGGCCTCGGGTTGCTGTACGGTACAGTATGTGCATGTACACTTGTCAACTACTAGTACAGTACTAGGAAGCGCTAAGATAATACTCGGAGCATCGATTCACATTATTATTATTGCCGCCAGGGACTGTACTACGGTAGTAGTCGGGAAGTTACTAACTTACTTAAGTTACGTTCATGTCAAAGTTTGGAGGTAACGTACAATATACGAAGTAAGCTGAAGTAAGTATACATGCACAATGTATGAATGAATGCTGTGTGACGATGAGTTACTGAGTTACTACATGGTACAGCTGTAGTACATACTAACGTACTAGTACTACAGTAGTACTGTACTCCATAGCACTACAAATTCGAAATGAACGACATGCTGGCGAGAAGATGCAAGTCCAGTACTCAATGTACTGTAGAGTACTGTACCACTAGTAGTACACTACCCCTTCAAGCCACGGTTCTAGTGTCGGCCCTCACGGAGGAATGTCTTTAAAATGATACTGTAATCCAAACTCAATTACAACCACGGTACCACGCTGTACCTAGTACAGTAGCACTCACCCAAGTGAACTGTACTGGTAGTTCGGGTACAGTAACTGACTCGTACCTACGGTATGGGTGGTCAGCATTTTGCCTCTCGTTCGGTGTTCAGGTCGACTTGTCAGCCGAGCAAGTAAGGTTTCACCGTGAGGTCTGACAAAAACTTGGTCACTCTTTGTTCTGTGGGATCTTACTACTGTAGGCGCGGCCAACGCACAGTTCGCGGCGCTCGATGTCGCTTGCAAAAGATTGTCGGAAATGCATCATCTTTCTTTCCGCGAGACATGTGTTACTGCTCTCTTACAGCCTACACGTATGTGCTCCAATACAAAGCAGTAAAATGGACTATATTGTTCGTATGTTCTGAAACATGATAGAAACATCACTTGATTTGAGTATGCTCATGTTGCTTGAATTCTCCGTTCTTTTCATGTGACAATGACATCGTCTCCCGTGGCATGACGATCTTGGCGAGATAATAACTCACCGGTACGTTTTGATAAACTACTAGTATTAATACTAACGTTAACGTTAGTACGTACTGTATTAGACTCACGATATTAGCATTCTACAGGACTTGTAAGTAGTAAGTACTACGCAGTATGTGCAGTCCGCAAAGGTCACGACTGCCCGGATAATTTCACCTTGTTTTCAAATACTACAGTAGTACTACAGTAGTACTAGTAGTTCAGTGTAAATGTTACGCATCATCCACTAGGCCGTCCTGGTGAGGTATGTTTGTCCCCAGCTGATCAAGGTGTCATGTCCCCCCAGTTGCATCCATCACCTTCTTCGAGCGCATTCGTCGACTTCACACTCCATGTCGACGCCGTGCAAGGACCATCACGCGTCCCCATCCACGATGGACGCCCGCCGCTCCACAGGTCCCCGAAGGGACATGAACGTAGCAAAGCCTCCTGGGTTGGTGCTGTACAATCCGTCGTGTCCAACGTCGCTGCCGACCACCACCCCCCACCCGCCCAACTACTTTGCCGAACGTCGTTCGACGGCCACCACAATGGACGGACGCCGAAGCTACGGCGACGTGCCGTACGCATTACAAATGGACACCAGCAGTTCCGTGAGCGACTCGATGATCCTCAAAGAAGACTTTGCGGCCGCCGTCGGCAGCAGCACCATCCTCGAAGAAGGTGCGCTGGTCCCCGGTGGCGCGTTAAACTTGTGGTCCAAGGAAGCGTTCGCGTTGTATTCGCAGTACGCAGCCATCGGAATCATCTATGGCATGCTGCCCCAGCTGGCTTACCCTGTCTACGCCGTCTACTTGCAACTAGAAGGGTACCAAGTGAGTTCGTACAGCATCCTCGTCAACTTGGCGTGGTCGTTCAAGATATTCTTTGGGATGGCATCGGACTGTGTGCCCATCGGGGGGTACCGCCGCAAGCCGTGGATGCTTATCGGGTGGACCATTTGCTTTGCGAATTGCCTGTTTATGGCTTTGAACCCGTTTGGCCGACCCTACTGCGACCCCCAAGTGAACGACGCAGACGCCATGAACAAGTGCCTCAATCGAAAGGCCAACCGCGGCGGGTACGTTCCCAACGAAGACGCGCACTCGAACCTGTACATGTTTATCCTTCCGTCCATGCTTGCGAGTATGGGGTACGTCATGTCTGCCTGTGCCAGCGACGCCATGGTAGTTCAGTACGCCCAGCGGGAACCCATGGCCACGCGCGGCCGCATCCAAACGGCTATTTACGTGGTCAGGACGATAGCTACGATTGTATCGCAGCTACTCGTGGGCATTTGCCTCAATAGCCGCGAATACGGCGGCGAGTTTTCGTTTTCACTGCCCATGAACGTCATCTACGCGTTCTTGTGTGTGCCGTGTATCCTGGTGTGCGCTGCGACAGTGTTTGGCATCCACGAGTACAAGACGGAGCGCGTGCCGTTTTTAAAGTACATGGACGGTCTGTGGTCGTTGGTTCAGAAGCAAGCGATGTGGCAGATCATGGCGTTCCGATTTCTCAGCAACGTGTTCCAAGGATTCAGCTCCACCGCCATCCCGTCCATGTCGTCCGCCTGGGTCAAGCTATGGCCCATCGTGGACTCGATGACCACCGCCGTGGGCTCGCTCATCTTTGCCGCCATCATGTCTCTGGTTGGCAAGTACGGGCTCCATTGGAACTGGCGGTGGACCATCGCTGTGTCCACGCTTTGTCTCATATTTCTCGATTCCCTCGTGTACATGCTCACAATCTGGGACGTGTGCCGCAACCAGTGGTTCTTCACCGGCGTCGTCTTGGCCGACAACATCCCCAGTGGCGTCCGGTTCATCGTGTCCATCTTTTGTGCCGTGGAAATCGCCGACTTGGGCAACGAAGGCACGGTGTATGGCCTCGTAACGACTGTCAACAACCTCGCGAGTCCCGTCGCGGGGGTGCTGTACAAGTGGATCAACGCGTACTTCAAGGTCACGCTAAACGACATCAAGACCGACACGACCGAGGTGCGGTGGCACGTCACGTATACGTTTTGGATTGCCTATGGCATGAAGATCCTGTCCCTGGCATGGCTGGTGCTGCTGCCGCCACAGAAAGCCCACCTCCAGCGCCTGAAAAAGTACGGCGTCAAGAGTCCATTGGCCGGCGTCCTCTGCATCTGTCTGTTCTTGTCGTTTCTTGTGTTCTCCGTGGTCACCAACTTGATGTCGATCTTCCCGTCCACGAGGTGCCACCGAATCGCAGGCGGCAAGGGGTGCAAGCCAGAATTTACAGACACATGTGTATGTTGAGCGCGATGGATGGCCATATGTGGGAGTGCATGTCGTTTGGTAGACTGGGATGGAACGTTTCTCGCAGTTGTGTATGTTAATCGAAATATTAGTATTTTAATACTAATATTTAAAATAGTACGTACAGTAGGCCTCTGGACCAATTACACAGTGTTTGCTCAAATAGTGCAATATATTGGAATCATATCGAGATATTTCGCATTTTGTGCCTTAACTGACGATATATATACGATAAAATTATTTACTGACTCTTTGGCTGAAGGATTGACAACTACAGCAGTGATCAAGAAACCTCGTAATTTACTCATCTACTTGTCAAATATGAAGTTACTGATCAAATACGTAAATATAGAGGTATATTTCCATCACCCTTGGACTCAAATTCTCGTTGGCTGTAAATTTTTCGCGTCAATCACAACGGCAGCTCAACATCCTCAAGAGTGCCTTCTAACCATTCCTTTACTCATAATTCATCTCATTCATCTCCTGTGTACCATGCGTCTCAATGTGTCGTCTATGATGGAGCGCCTCCAGGACCAGACTGCCTCGGATATCCTCGACCTGAATACGGCGAAGCCGTATTCATTCAGGCTTTTTGAGTTAACGGTGACTTATGTTAACGGTGAGCCGCCGTCTTGCTCCCTTTATTATCCAATCAGAGTCCATCACACCTTGTTTCTTACACACGATTGGCTATAACACTGCCTTGCGAATTCCAAAAATAGACAGACACATGAAGAATAAAAATAAACAATACAAACTTGAAGATATATTTAATTGAAACTATAGAAATATTAATGGAATTCGCAAGTTGGTCGGTCCACCTTGCGCTGCATACAAAATTGCCTATTTTTGTGAAGTACTACTACTACTAATAGTATGTGACTCCGGAGTACTGTATATTTTTGTCCAAACCAAGGAATATGACAAAATAATATGAATGATATATACTAGAGTAGTAGTGCTACGTAGTACAGTACTTGAAGTATTAAACGTACTACGTATACGTCTATCATCGCCTGTACCATATTTGAAGTATTAATCGTACTCCGAGTACATTTGTATACGTCTGTCATCGCCTAACAGTAATATATATTGGTGTTCGTTATTGTTCGGGTGGGAGCGTAAACCTCGAACCCAATGATAGCCTTGGTTGGTGCTATCTACCCGTCGTGCTTCTACATACTTCCACTACTGGTAACTTACTAGTACTGTACTGTACATGCAATTCCTTTCTACTTTGTGCTTCGAAAATGCGCAGCATACTGTACTGGTATGCAAGGGCGTCATACACTTCTCATGTTAACGTTAGTAGTATGTGTTCAGTTACATAACATCATCATAATCGCACTAACTGTAAGTTACCGGTAGTACAGTTATGGTGCCGCAGCTGGCTTGGATGGACGATATTCCTCAACGGGGTTAAACTGGGGGCCAAGGGTAAGTTACAGTAAGACTTAACGTTAACGTAATGTATCTGGAGAGTCCAAGGCGCGGTTCACATGACAACAGAACCGACCTTTATATTTTCGCAGTTGGTTGGATTATGGTACTACAGACGAGGAGGTGGGCGATGGCGTCGGCCGGACGCCGTTGCCGCCCGCAATGTGCCACCATGAGGTGTCCTTGAACAGCGACGCGACGTTGCCCACGATCGAAAACGCGAGCAGACCGAGGAACAACGCCCACGTTAACCGCCCAGCCAGCGGGCTCACCATCCCTTGTCGCTTCAAACGCTGGACATGGGCTTTTTGGGGGGGCAGCATGAACAGCCACACCAGGGACAGCATTTTCATTGCGTACGAGATAAAATACGAGTACGAGACTGCCCACCGGACGCGGGCTTTGTCCGCGTCCGACCCGACGCTTTCAGTCGCGAACGCCGTGTTGTTGAAGTCCAGGTGGCTATCGACATACTTGTAGAGCACGGATGAGACGGGGATCGCGAGGTTGTTGACAGTCGTGACCATTCCGTAGACGGCGCCTTCATTGCCGAGGTCGGCCAATTCTGTCGCGACGAACGCAGACACGATGAACCGGACGCCGGTGGGGATCTCGTCGGTGAGGGTCACGCCCGTGTAAAACCACGGGTTGCGCACGATGTCCCAGATGGTCAAAAAGTAGACGGTGCTATCAATGGCAATAAGCACGACGGTGGTGATGGCGATGGTCCACCGCCAGTTCCAGTTGAGGCCATATCGCCCCACGAACGCAAGAACTGCAGAAAACAGCACATAGCCAATGGCGTGGGTGAGGGCGTCCGTGAACGGCTGCACCTTGGCCCAATACAGCGCCATGGGTTTGCCCGCGGTGGACTCAAAGTTCTGGAAGAGGCTGCTGAGGAACCGGAAAGCCAGGATTTGCCACACGGCTTGTTTCTGCGAGAGTTTCCAGAACTGGTCGGCCCACTTGTGAAACGGCACACTTTCCGTCTTGCGCTCGACGACGACCCACGCCGCAGTGCACAGCGCCGACGCCGCGGGCACACACAAAATCGCAAACAGCACATTCACAGACACGTTGAAGTCAAACTTGCCGCCGTACACGGTGCCGTTGAGAAGAAGGCCGACCAAGACACTACTGACCACTTGGCCTATCGTGCGCGCGGTGTAAATGGCTGTCTGGATGCGGCCTCGGCTGTGGACGGGCTCGCGTTGGGCGTACTGCACAACAAGGGCGTCGGACGCACAGGCGGACGTAACGTACCCAAAGGTCGCGACAACAGTGCCTAGTGTGATCCGGATGGACGTGGCTTCCGTGTTGGGGTTGATGAGGCTGCGGCAGTTGTTGTCATCGTCGCGGGCTTCGCAGTACGGCTTACCAGGAGACAGACACACGAGGTAGATCAATCCCGCCAGACAAACCAGCCAGCCTAGAATCATCCATGGCTTGCGACGGTAGCCGTAGATGGCGACGCAATCACTCAACCCCCCCATGAAGATCTTGAAGGACCACGCAATGTTGACGAGGATGTTGAAGGCCGCGACTTGGTACCCTTCGAGGTTTAAGTACACTTGGAAGAGGGGGTAGCCAAGGCCTGGCAGGGTGCCATAGAGGATTCCTATGGCCCCATACTGGGCGAACAACGCCATCGCTTCAGAACTGACCAGGCTGATGGCCCCTCCAGGCACCAACGCTCCTTCTTCCAGCACCACGTACTCTTCCTGAACACCAATCACATGGGTACTGCTCAACGACAACGAGCTCTCATATTCTTGTCCCAGCAGGTAAATGCCGGGTTTCTTTGGAGGGGCGGACGCTGACATCGTAGGTAGTGCTGCAACCTCACAGAGTCGGCAGCTTACAACAAATTACCAAGTGGTTTGTGTGTCGTATTCTGATGGGTTATGTGTATCTAGAGTTTTTCCGTTGCCAAAGTACAGATGCGACATGTCTCCGTTCGCATAGTGCATCCCGCCTCGTTCTCAGAATATCGAAGTTCCATGCATTACAGCTCTTTGTGATACAGCTTGTTGAAATTTCTGTAACATAAGCTTACACTTACTGTTACCAGTAGTCATGTGAAATAGCTTCGTAAAATGTACTTCGAAGTATTTACTAGAAGTAGGTAAACTTCATGACAACAGAGTCAACAGCACTATGCGGTATGAGTAGAACCTTCGGAATTTCGGGGCTAATCCTACACCCAGGCATCAATGTGTGCCGGATCCTAGCAAATGTGGTATCACACTCGACACAGACGATTGCCCTCGATGCTGTTCTTGTGGCCCCCTCAAGACCGATCAGCACCAAATCGGCAGACAATCGATGACCAATCCAAACCCAGAACATGAATCAAGTGGCCAATCAAATCCTCTTGACGACTAATTCAACATCGAATTAGTGTGGAGGAGGTCCAATTGTGAGAAAATGTAACCTCAGTGGAGTTCAATTTGTCGATTCGTCGTCCTATCAGCCCCAAAGATCCCTCTTGTTTATAAACTGCGGCTTAGTAAATCTATACCCCGCCGGATCAACGCTCGACTTCTTCGGCACATTTATAGTCTGCTAACGTTATGACCACATTTGAAAATGTATACTATTAATAGTACCTCACATCTATCCTACTACCTAGATGGGCTAGAGTAGCTTTGGAAAAATGATACCATACTGTAATACAATGTGTCCCCCCACAACTGCACCCTAACTAACTACTACTACTACGTAGTACTACCTTGTTACCTTACCGTCGGCTATACGAGCTTGCATGAGTGAATGTACTCACTTGCCCCCAAATTCATTGCCACCGCCATTGCCTCGCCCACACGATCCCGAAAGCGTCCCTCTGAAGTTCGATGCGGTGTTTTGACTTTCGGCAAGAACACCAGTATATTTTTTGTCGTTTCCTCAACGAGACTAACGCATGCAATTATCCCTCAGAAACGTGTTATATCCCCCAACATTCCTTCATATTGATATTAAAAGATAATACCCTAAGGTGATTCATGTAATTTCCGCCCACCATGTAATTTCCGCCCAGTTGGCAGCCAATCACAATCATCAAACGAAGTTGATTGGATAAAATTAGGTACTCAGGTAAATAGTACCCTTAACATTTAATATCTGCATGCTTTAACAACTCATTTAATCTCATAACTGCAATGACTTCTAAATTAAATACCTTGTACACTTTATAAATATTACTATTAAGAGGTTCTGAGAATTTCGATGGTCAAATCTGTCATACAGTACATTATTCAAGTCAAACACCTGGGCGGAATTTACATTTACATAGGAAAATTACAGAATTGAAAAATTCGTCTAGCAAAATGGACAAGCGATACAACGATGGGTCCTGCATAAACTAATAAAGCTCCTCACGACCTTGAGAATGCATGTTTTTGCAGCCTCATCACACACTCGTGCGATGAGTTACGAGACTTCAAAAGTACGACAAGCTGGGCGGAGATTGCATGAAACACCTTACACAAAAATGCCACCGCTTTGGTTCGTGGAGATAATTGACGCCTCGACAGTGCAGATGCTTGCCAGTGCAGGTTGTAAGAATAGCTTGTGTGTAGCTGCTGTAACTTACTATTAATAAGTACATACCGCATAAAGTTAGTGCTGTTGACTCTGTAGCCATGAAATATGTACTCCTAACTCGGAGTATATCAGTAACTACCAGTATATGATTCGAAGCTACCGTATAGTCCCCGCTTCAGTACCTATGAAAATGTCAGTGAAATCTGATGAGAAAACTGGTACAGCTCCAAGCAGTACCTTGAAAACTATTCAGGGTGTACTACGTATTACTTCAGAAGTAGTAATCGATAACATGGGTTATATTTCATTGGATGAAATGATTTAACGAAAGGTCATTGTATTTCTGTCCAATTAGAGGCAACTAGGAACCATGAAAATGTTCGTCATTGGCCGATACGTTCCAAACCGGTCCAACCGGAGAAATCATAGGTACTAGTACTGAAGTGGGGGTATACGGTAGGTACAGTAGGTGTAGCGACAGTAAGATCAATTGCGAATGGACAGAGCTACGATACCGGTATTTTGCGAATGCTTACCTAACGGAGACATGTCGCATATATACTTGCCCAGCGGAAAAACTCGTGTATCTAGCTGCCAGTTGGACTGTCGCGGATATGCCTGCGGCGGACGTCAAGTAGAGGAAAATGATTATCCCTATAAGCCACATGCTTGGATATTATCCATTAGTCATCCAATACATTTCACTTGGTGAATTGCGATTGGCTGAGATCAGATGAGACGGGGTGAACGTGCCCTTTAATTGACTAGTTGGGGGTACTTTACGCATTACGAATGACATCGGAGTGTTCCGCCCGACACTTCCAAACGAGGGAGAATCGTGAGACACGAAACCAATCAATGGACCAAGCTTACTGTAAGATCCGAGCAATGCCTCGAATGAAACAGTTTCATTGTTATTTTGACCCGAAGTACTGTTTCAATGAGGGAATTATACCATCCGGATACACTTTTCGAGCCCATAGCCCTGTAACCTGGGACTCCGTCCTTCCCCCGGTCAGTACATATAATGCTAAATCCCCGGGGTGACGCACTTAAACCCTTAGTAAGAGGTGAGGTCAGAGTCTACTAAATCCCATATACTACTCCAGAGTACTAGTAAACACCAACTTCTGAGAGAATATACAGTGGTACTGTTTTACTGGTTACTCGAGGAATTGTTCCGTAAGATCGATCCAGAATATTACTACCAGTGAACTACAGATACTGTAAGAGCTGTGGATGATTTCGATTGATCATTTGTATGAGAGCTTGTAAACGTTTGGTTTTCAAAAGAAAACAGACGTATTCGTATATTTTTATTCAAAACCACAATAATACGACGAAGCAGAACATGATATGGTGCACCAAACCGACTCAAGGTACCTTTGAAGGGTCGCCAAGTGGCCATCACACTGACAATTGGCAATCCTCGCCAACCAAAAGCCGGCTAAATATGATCTTGAACAGTACATAGACGTTACAAGACTAGAGAAACGTTAGCATGAAATAGCATTATTTGGTTGCCAATGCGACGTGCGGTCTCACTCAGGAGATGTGAGCTCAATTACAGTAAGTTAGAGTAACGTTACTACTGTAGTACTGTACTCATTGAAAACAGTATTTCGGGTCAAAACAACATAGTGTAACTATATTAATGAGGGAATTATTCTACATACTCCTTGGTCGTGGTCTGGAAAGTACAGTACCAGTACAGTACCTCTTGCTCACGAAAATCGCCTCTGATCAAAGAATCAGTAGACCTGTAACCTCGAAATTCCCGGACCTCTTGTGTTGATATTCCCGGGGTTAAGTTGCATCACCAGTGGTAAGCTATCGCTAACCGCTGAAGTGCACTAAGCCCCTAGCTGGAATGTGTTGTTTGGTAAACACTGCATTTGACTATGACATACTAGTACTACAGTTGTTTTGCGGAACTGTTGTCAGTTTTAAATTGCAGTTTGAAAGAGCAAGGAACCACTACTGTAACGTTAACGTCGTCAAATGATCCTTGAATGCATTACAGAAACGTTACAATGTACAGTACACTTGTCAGTCACTTCTTACCATAAAACATAAAGGGGTTGCACCATTTGAACAGCACCCCAAGACGACGCCCGTGAAAGAACCACTGGTTGCGGCACACGTCCCAGATTGTGAGCATGTACACGAGGGAATCGAGAAATATGAGACAAAGCGTGGACACAGCGATGGTCCACCGCCAGTTCCAATGGAGCCCGTACTTGCCAACCAGAGACATGATGGCGGCAAAGATGAGCGAGCCCATGGCGGTGGTCATCGAGTCCACGATGGGCCATAGCTTGACCCAGGCGGACGACATGGACGGGATGGCGGTGGAGCTGAATCCTTGGAACACGTTGCTGAGAAATCGGAACGCCATGATCTGCCACATCGCTTGCTTCTGAACCAACGACCACAGACCGTCCATGTACTTTAAAAACGGCACGCGCTCCGTCTTGTACTCGTGGATGCCAAACACTGTCGCAGCGCACACCAGGATACACGGCACACACAAGAACGCGTAGATGACGTTCATGGGCAGTGAAAACGAAAACTCGCCGCCGTATTCGCGGCTATTGAGGCAAATGCCCACAAGTAGCTGCGACACGATCGTAGCTATCGTCCTGACCACGCAAATCGCCTCGCGTGGCCATGGGTTTCCGCTGGGTGTACTGAACTACCATGGCGTCGCTGGCACAGACAGACATGACAAACCCCTTTCTCGCAAGCATGGACGGAAGGATAAACATGTACAGGTTCGAGTGCGCGTCTTCGTTGGGAACGTACCCGCCGCGGTTGGCCTTTCGGGTTCAAAGTTGACTATGCCGTGTAGCTACAACAGCTAGCTACACTAAGGGTGTGGCATGTTACATGCCTGCATATACGTCGAAGTGCTAACGTTAGTACGATTTATTCTACAAACTCTGTCCGGAATTGTTTGCCTCAATGCCATGTAGTGGTAGTACACTTTCAAATAGGGATTTTTGGATTTTTGGGCATACCAACGATGTGAGAATGACTTGTTACAATGTAATGTGAGCCACCTTGCTCCTTTTTAATATCCAATCAGAGTCCATCACACCTTGTTTCTTACACACGATTGGCTATAACACTGACAGAAGAGGTTACAATTTTGAACTTTGAATTTTGTACTCTGGAGTAGAGCTTTGTGCTTTGTGCTTTGTGTGATGCTGTTCCAGAGACTTGTGCACTGATGAGTGCACTCCGACTATGTCCAATGTAGTTCTCCCCTTACAGCTATCATTGTGTTGTGCGCTCGGTTGGATTGCAATGTCGTGGTGGCTCTGGCGGGCCAACGCGGTGGCGCAAGAGGTCTTGGTAGCACCCATCGCAAACGCAAAGTGCTAAAGCCGCCCCACTTCAGCACTTGCGATGGGTGCCACCAAGATGTCTTGCGCCACCGCCCGCGCAACCACGCGATCACACCGGCAGGGAGGTGTGCGGCACCGACACGGGTTGGATGGTGGAATGAGGGACGACCAATTTCATTGGGTTAGTTGGCAAGTGGTGAAACGAGACCTGTTAGAATTGACCGAGTCCTGAATACCACATCACATGATCTTGCTCTCATACACAGCCTACAATTATCTCAAGGCTCCTTGCATCAACCGCCATCACAGGAATATATCGCAACAGGGCGTGATGAATCTATGCAGCGATTTTCGTGATTTCACCGCATCTGATTGGACAAAATTGGAGGAATTCCAAAAAGAGACAGACACATGAAAAATAAAAATCATCAATACAAACTTGAAGCTATATTTAATTGAAACTATACAATTTCAGAATTATTTATGGAATTCGCAAGGTGGTTCACCTTGCGCAGCATACAAAATTGCCTATTTCACCTTGCTTTTTCTGGTTAATGCAGCACTAATTCAGAATACCCTAAAAGATATCCGGGTAATATAGTGGGAATGATAGTCAATTTTCACTGCATAACATGTAAAATATTTATAATCTACTTCGAAGTAATATTTGAGCATTGATATGAATATCGGATATTACAGGTTTACGGTTTATTTGTGGTAAAGTAATTTCCCCTCAAACCTGTATAAACCGATAAAGTGTACCATAAAATGGCATTAACAGTAGGGCAAGCAATTGCGTACTTATGAAAGGAATATTGCAATACCGGTAGAAGATACACACGGTGAAAAGCTAGCGATAACTACATTTGTCGATGAGTATCCCTTCACACAAATCTGTGAAGCGATTCGTGTAGTTGGCCTAAACACCCCTGGTCGAGTATTTAGTCGGTGTGTGTCCGAGGTTGGTTGAGGGACGTGGCGGCTTTTGAGGAAGAATGTTACAAAAGTTTGTACGTAGATAACGTTACCTGGTAGCTGCATCGCCCTCACTTCTCGCAAGGTGGGTTGTCGTATTGCCCCGACATTGTGGGTTGGGTGGATGCTTGGTTAATCAATACTCTCCATGATTATACTCTAAAGTGTCGGTGCAACGAGCTATGACGGTTGCTGGTGCTAGTATTCGTCTCATTTGCAACTTGTGTGCTTGCAAAAAGATACTGTATGTTTGGGCGATGAGCAGGGTTATTTAACTAACGTTAACAAGAAGGCTTTTGCTAGGGTGAACCAAATCTTCCATGCGTAGCGTATTGCAGGAACAATACAGTAACGTTCGTCGCCTCGATCCACAGGCGAAAAGCAATTGGGGGCAAATGCGTGAACAACACGCCTTCAAGTGCCGTACTGCCACTAACGCTAACGTTAGTTGGTAATTACCCTGTGCGACCACTTATAGAATTCCCACTCGGAATCAATATTGAATTCGTCGATGTCGTCAGAGTCAAGTAACACATTATATATCTGTGACTACCGTAACCGCAAATATATATCACGTTCGACCTGCAATGTGTATTGAAGCCTCTCACACAACAATTATTATCAGGTTTCAAATTGTATGCCCATGTGCTGTTAAATTGGCATTCTTGACTGGGGCATTGTTGCGGCATGGCGACATGAGACGTGTGCCTTGAAGCACTGGGATATCGATTAATGTATTATTAGTGATCAGCGTGGACTACGATAGTTACGTTAAGTGTATGTTGATTGACCAGTAAATTATGAAGAGGCGACCAAAACACATTATGAACTTGACGACCAACACCGACCAGCTCCGTAGCAAGCAAGCTAGTGCAGGTTCACAGTGAGAAACAAAACCTCGTGCAACAAATGTTTCAGCTTCAAACAGGCCATCGAGGGGTGGGGAAGCTCGAGCTGCTAAAGATGCCGAGCTCTCAAATTTCATCGAATCCAAGGACTGAAATCATCAAAGCCGAAGTCTCCAAGCACAAATGAGCTCTCAAGGATGCCGCGCACTGACGCACTATTGCTGAGATGAATGCTTCCCACGCCGCCTCATGTGTGAAACGACTGATGGACGGACATCATGCACATATCATGCAGGGGAATAACGGCATGATGTGTGGCAAGTTAGGAGATCAAGCTACCTCGAACCCTCGGTAGGGTGTGGGAGTTTGAATTGTCTCCGAAAGAAAACCCCGACATAGGTCGAGTGTAGTGGTAGCGAGCTTCACAGAGTAAATTGGAAAATGATTAGGATGTCATCTTAAACTACTAACTAGGAAAATGTATATTGTACTAAACTACATCAAGTAATCAGTTTTCTCTAGGACTTCTTCCACAGTCTTGACCATTAATGGTGCGACAATGTTTGGCTTGTTCGACAGCCTTGCCATCGTTTTAGTAACGATGCGACAAGCTGTATTCTTGGTCGGCAACCTTGCCATCGTTACATTCTCCCACGGTTCTCGACTTGGCAGTTTTGATTCTTGAACGGAGGTCTTCAAGCAATCGTTTGAAATGGGAAACATGTTTGGTGCTGCGCACTCTCAAGTTGCTTCGTGTTCGGCAAACCATGCCACTTGACCAAGCACTGCTTCTTCCGATTGTACTGTCGTTGTTTAACAGCGCCCAAACGATTGTGCAGTTCATTTTCTGCGTCGTCGAGAACGATATGAGTCGATAGGAGTCGCCTTCGGTATTGGAATTCCTTGTAAACGCTCTGGGTTTTAGACATGATGCTTCAAGCAATCCATATTGAAGACATCGTGAAGCCTGCTCATGTTCAATGGCTACTTTACCGCATCGCATTGGCGTTCACAACTTCCCGTATCTTGAACGACCAAATGAATCGTGGCACGAGCTTCGCATTTCTTTCTTGTTTTTGACTTGCGCATGCGTCAAAGAAATGTTTCCAGCATCACATAATCGCCTTCCTTGAATTCTACCAACGATCGCGTCTTGTCGTAGTAGTTCTTCTGTCAAGCTTGTGCTTCTCGAGGTTGTCAAGCGCCATACGCACGAGTTCCTTGCAATGTTCCCCCAAGTTCTTCGCATACTCGTTCAGTGCCTCGATCTCGTTCAGTGCTGGGTTGTGTAACTTTCTTGCCGTATCGACTTCAAATGGTGTGAACCCCGTTGACGCTTGAACTAGGCCTTGATGTGCATATTCGATGGTTCCAAGATGTTCTGACCAGTCGTGACCCAAGTATGAGACCTGACATCTCAAAGCATCTTCGAGGCTCCGATTTTGTCGTTCGGTCCTTCCATAACTTGCGCTCGACCCGCCGTCGTCATGCAATGCTTGACGCCCATGATCTACATCAACGCTTCCCAAAATTCACTCGTGAAGTTGGAATCTCGGTCGCTGATGACTACTGCTGGCAAACCATGATGTCGCACGACTGCATCGAAGAACTCCTTCGCTGCTTGGGGTGCATCGACGTTCGACGTTATCGCAGGACGCTTTGACGTTTTGTCAACGCACGTCATGATCGTATCTCTTCCGTTCGAGACCGGTAAACCCGTGATCCAGTCCATGGAAACTGTGTGCCAACATTGCGAAGGTGATTCGATCGGTATCATTCTTCCATTCGCCTTCGCGCTGCTTGACTTGAATTGCGCACAAGTTTCACACACCGCGACATAGAGCTTCAAGTCTTCTTCAAGACCGCTCCAACAATACCATTGCGCAATGTGCAAATGCGTTCGCCGTACGCCAGGATGAGCCGTGGTGCTTGTGTCATGACTCTGCGAAATAATTTCGCCCTTGAGGTAGTCGTCGTTTGGAACGCACAACTTCCACACTTGATCCTTCGACTTCACGAAAAAGAGTCCATCTTTCTTCTCGAACTTGTCTTCGTTCTCGAACTCCTTCGTCTTGGCGTTTGCTCGCACGAAGCGTTGCTTCAAGTTATCATCCATCTTGATCGATGAACACGAAAACTCCTCCGCGTGGTTGATGACGAGTTGATGCAGAACTTCGACTTCGACATTCGGCGCATCGACCTCCTCCCCCCGAGAAGCCAAGTTTATTATCAATTCCAAAGTGCGAATGTTCAAGCACTTGATGTCATTCCCTCGATCGCTCCATTGGTAGCACAACGATAGCGGTCGTAACACGTAGCGTGCGCAGCGCAGGTATTCGCTTGCATGATATTGCGCGGTGGACGCGATAATGCATCCGCAACAACGTTTGTTTTGCCAGGACGGTAGTGCAACGTAAAGTCAAAACTGCTGAAGAAATCTAACCAGCGTGTTAACTTAGCTGTTAAAACTGGAGTCTTCAAAAACCATTGGTAGTCGCGTTGGCCGTGAAGACATCAAAGTGTGACCCATAGACGTAGTGTCTCCACTTGGTTAGTGCCAACTTGATCGCATACAATCATTTATCATGCGATGGCCAATTACACTCGGTGTCACTTAGCTTCTTCGACAAAAATGCGACCGGTCGGTCTTCTTCGTTCGCATCCAGTTGTGATAACACCGCTCCACAACAATAGCCCGAGGCGTCCGTCGTGATCATAAATGGCTGGTCAAAGTCCGGTAACTGCAACACTGGAGCTTGTTGCAACGCAGCCTTGGTAACCAAAAACGCCTGGTTGTGTTATTCCGTCCATTCCCATGGAACCTTGTCCTTCGCGAGCTCACTGATTGGTAGTATCAACTTGTAGTTCGCAATGAACTTGTGGTAGTACTCTGCTATCCAAGGAAACTTAAGAGCTCCTCGCGATTACTGATTTCCCCCTGACTTTAGAACGGCTAAATTTCAATAATTTGTGGAAATGAATAGTATAAAATGTCAAAGTTCTTGCAAATATTTAAATGCATGCATGAAATCGATGTGGCTACTGTCAATTCAAAGATGAAGCCGCGCATGGCGTTGGAAGACAAACACGCCTTGCATGTTAAGGATTGAGAGAACAACCGAGTTTAACGTATTCTGAGCTGGCACTTTGGGCTAAGATGACGTTCAATCTGTGCTCTACGCCATCAAAGCAGACCGTCGGACGCGCCATCGCGAGATATTAGACACAATGCCAGCGTGCTGATATCAAAACGCGCTCCATTGACAGCTACGTTGCTCTGCCTGCCGTTGAGTTCAGGCTCGTGGAATGGGTGCTACGGTGCAAAGAGCTTGGAGTCTGCCTCACTGGCGACCTC